GCTCTATCAAGAAGATATATAATTAGAAAGGGGCATGGGAGCAACATTTGTGTCAGGCAAGTCAGGGCTGCAAATCTGGGCCTCTGCCAATGTGGCAGATGGGAATCTTCCCCCTTCACTTGATTCTTTGCACAAAGCCCCATAATCCTGCTTTGTGCAGCAGTGGTGAATGAAAAATGGATATGGTTTGAAATGAACCATTTCTCCCTTTAAAAGCAATCTATCTCCTTAGCTGATTGATCAAAATGTTGTCCAAGGGATGGTAGGTCTGCTGTCAGCTGAAGCGATGTAAAGAATTTACACTCATATGCTAGTTAGGCATTCGCAATGTCAGCTGCTGCAAAAGGCTTTTGTGCCTAAACTCCCTTTGTCTTGGGAAAAAGGGTGTCAAGTTTATTTTTCATTAAATGTAGCAATTACAGAATTGAAGATTCAAAAAAGTATTAAAAATGTTTGCATTAGTGTTCCCTTTAAAAATTTATTTTCTAAGGGTTGGATCAATGATGCTAAAAGAACTGATTGATTTTGATTTGATACTCAGTGCTTCTTATCTTCATCATTTTAGTTTCCTTTTACCCCTCTCTATGGCAAAAGTATCCTGGTAGCTCAAATGAGAAATTGTGGGAACATCCTCGTTCACTGCAGTCCTGCACCCTGACCACCTCAACAAAGACTAAATCTTTGGAGAACCAAGCTAAATTCTAACAGAGTTCTCCAGAGCATGTAAAAACCAAAGCTTTCCAGATGTTCAGATATTGGGTGGATTCCTTCAGGAGAAAGGTATATTTCTGACCCCAGAGCAACCCACCGCCACGTTTCAAGCCCCAGACCCAAGACATGAAGGCAGTAGAGACCTGAGCTGAAGTGCTTTAAGAGTATATTATAAACTGGGCAAACCCATTTATTTTATCCTAGCCTTGCTCCCACAGCTAACCCATTCCATCGACCCTTCGGGCAGCAACAGTGATGTAATCACCCTGAGACACATGAAATTTGAGCTTGGAATTTTGCAGTTCAGCTAAATTATAAGTACCCAAGAATGGTTTTATTGTGGAAGGCGTCAGGAAAATTGTAATGGGAGGCAATACTGTGTTGCTATCCTTAATACGGTACCGGATTATGAAATGTTTGTAGTACTCCGCAGGCATGCTGAGCCTGTATGAACATTGTTGGTGTGTTTGTCTGGAGGATTAATCGTGCTTAATGACATTATTTATATACCTCTCAAAGCAATGCAGAATGTTTCTGCAGCTCCTCATCTTTCTGCTACGCCTGTAGAAAGCAGCAATGCCCCCGTGGCTGCTAATGCAATTATGATGAATTTCATAAACAAGATCCACTCTTCAGGGTTAATTTCCAATCTTCTTTACGCAGTGAATAAGAAATGAAGTTAAAAGCAGATGTTTTAGGAAGTTAGACAGGACTGGAATGAGTTTAAATGTTAACACAGATTAATAAGTAGAATACTGTGTTCATTTGAGCTAATTATTTTCTCAGAAGGCATCCATCCTATTTAGGCAGTTGCACAGCCTCAAGTCTTCATTTCTTACCAGTACTATCAAGGGACTTAATCTGCTAGTTTAAGTTTAAGATTGGTCATGTGTTTTTAATAACATAGATTTAATTTGAAAGCTACATTTGAGCTGTTTCCATGTGAATATTCCACACTTTTAGATAAATGCATTTATTCTAAATTTAAACTGTAACTATAGTAACCAGCATCCTCTGTGTTTCAGTAGGAAATATATAAGCCCACTCAGACAGAAGGAAACATGTTGTGTTAATTATTATTCCATCAAAAGATTAGAGTTTGTATTTTAAAAAAATAATTATCAGAAGCAAGGTATTTTTACTATCTAGACTTAGAAACCAAGAGACTTGCAGGAATATATTCTAATGTCATTTGTGGGAAACTGTGAAAGTTAGAAAATATCCTCTAATTTGGAGGATATAATAAAACTTTTTTTTTTCCCCAGCTATTTATTGTCTAATGAAAATACAGTACCAAGCTCTTAAAATCTAGCTTAGCAGGAATCGACTTAGATTTCCTAGAGCAATTCCTGATCTCAGACAAATAGAATTACTGTTTCAATTATAGGTAGATGATCAGATTTTTTTGCTTGGTCCCGCAGATGAGAGATTCTGTAGATGATTTTGCAAAGGTAGTAAATGTCACTTTTAGAGTAATGACCATATTAGTCAAGGTGAGTAAGGATGTGAATAGCTTCTTCCTTTCTTCAGATTTCTCTCTCTGCACCTGGTTTTCATGGGGGTTGATTTTGTTTAGGAGAGAGCTCATCTGGTTTTAGATTTTTTTTTTTTATTTCTGGCATCATTATTTAAGCATACTGTGTTAAAATTTTAAATATACAATATATGTGATCTTGTAGTAATGGTGAACTTTGCAAATATACTAAGAGTATATAGTTTTCCCACAGGTAAAATATTTACTGCGTATATTTCAGTATGCTAATAGATTGTAAGTTTTACTAAGAGGTTTTTAAAATAATGCTCATTCATTGAATCCTGGAAATTCGGGATATTCATCCATAAAATTCAGGAACAGAAACACTGAATTATCTAGTGCGATGTCCTTTATAAATGCCTTGTATCTCTCTTTTTTCCCTGAGCACTGTAACTTGTCTTTGTCCAGACTTGATTCTAAGATATGAATGGATCGAGATGCCACACATTCCTCTTCTATATTATTTTGGTGGCTAAGCATATTCAGCATTAAAAAGTAAAACTGTGTTTTCTTTAGAATTCATTTGTCTGGCATCAGCTCCTTTCCAATGATTTGGATATCTCCCAAAGAGAATTTTTTAGATCTCAATATTTTCTCACTCTGAAGGCATTGCACATACAATACAACTACTCCTCTCCCAAGCTGTGTTTATTGAAGCTGTGGATACCAGGATCAAATACCTTGTGAGGCTTTTAATTGAAGTATTTAAACTTTCTTTAAATATATGAATACCAGAACTGTACAGACTAAGCCAAATTTTGGGTCATACCACACTGCGGTTTGGGCTCTTAGGTCCCGAGAGATGGACTCACGGGGGATGTGTGCTCTGGTTTTTCAGATCCGGATCGAGCTTTCAGAGCAAATGTCCTTTTTGTCCTCCTTCCAGCGCTTTGGTTCATCTTGTGGGGCAGTCTTGGTGAATGTATACTAGATTTGTTTGTATTAAACTGATCTTGAAGATGAGCTGACCCAGTGCATCCACCTGCTAATGGGTGGTCACTTCATGGGGACAGACTAGAACTAGCCCAAAAAAACCCCAACCCTGAAATGTAGAGTTTGTGTCCTCCCCTATTTGGCCACACTATTGGGTAGTGTGAACCGCCCCATCTTTGTTTTCAGAACTCACCCACTTGCAATGAGATCTTCAGTGAAATGAGTCAGCAAAACAAATTCTTTGCATTCTATCTGCTTGCAGATGTTTGTGTAAGGCATGGTTTAAATAAGACCATTCAGAAAATAGCTCTTCTGACCCAGAGCATTTGTACATCTCTTCAGAAAAACTCTTTTTGTCAAAGCTGTGTAGTTTTAAGTAATCAAAGCCTCAAAAAAAGTTTCTCTGCACTTGAATATTATAACAAATAGCATACCTCCACCTTTCAGAAGATAAATTTGAAATTCATTTGTAAATAAGTTTTTTAAAACAAGAAAAAATTTCCAGTGATAGCATTTTCAAAATTACTTCAGCTGAGGGCAAGACCCTTAGAACACTGTGGTATTGTAGAGTCAGTATTGCAGAACCTAAGATTTAAGCAGTGATCATGTGCAAAGGGCTCTGCAAAGCTATGGGCAGTCCGTCCGTGTGCGCATGCTGAATGTTGGTTTATGGGTTTCAGGCAATTTGAGAAAGCTTAAAATACCTAACACATTTGTTCAGGCTTGCCCAATAACACATTGGCCTCTGGGAAGTTTCTAGGTACCTCCCTCAAACTCAGGTTAGGAAGAAATTCTGCTTTTCTTCGAGATTCAAGGCAAAGATTGCTCTGAAGCATAAGGGGAAGGAGCTTCCCATCCCCTCTTCTAGTCTGCTCCAGCCAGACAAGCTGCTGGATCATCTCAGTTGGCTGATTAAATCTTGAAAACGATTACAACCTCTTCACTTTTATTAGTTGGTTAGTTTTCTGCTGTGGAGAAGGCAGCAATGAGGGGTACTGCTGGGAGCGATGGGAAATGGGGCAGCGGTGGGGAGAAGGACCAAGACTCTCCAGTGACTGCAATTTCTTACATCTTCTCAACCCATCAGGTTAAACATCATCCTTTTTACTTTGCATTTGCCATGAGCTTAGACACCATCCACCACCTCTGTGTGTCACACGCTGTTTTGCAAGGCATTTTAAGCTAATTTTAAAGTATTTTAAGATATTTTTAAAGTAGTCCATGACTCTGAAGTCTCTGAACTCTCTGGTTTGTTTTTTTCTTTAATAGATTCAGAAATGGTGGGGTTCATTTTACCTTATTTGGATGATCTAAAACTTCATCTTTTATAGAAGTTAGGGAATTAAAGTTCCTTCTATAGGACGACAAAAATGTGCCTGCACAGAGAGAAATTTATTCCATCGTAAAGTGCACATCCAAAAGCACCGAGGCAAACAGCTTATGCTCTCTCTGTCCTTGTTTCACTCCTCTGTCCACAGAACAACTCTAAATATTGCCTGATTTTTAGATAGCTTAAATTAGAGAGGGTAAATCTATCCTTAACATGCTTTTACCACACTCCCACATGTGTTGGGAGGGAGTGCTGTTCTGCTGGTGTAGGACAAACAAGGCTCCTCAAATTCCAGTCCCCTGTTTGCCAAAAAACTGCTGCGTGGCTCAGGAAGTGGCTTGGTGTCTCTTTTTATGATTTATAAAATTTGCTTTAAATGCTCACTTTAAGCATAGCAAGCGACCAATGGTCTTGGGAGAACAAATATCAAACATATCGTACACAACGCTGCTATAATCAACACGTGTTTCATTTGTGTTTTCTTTTCCACAGAGTTGAAAGAAAGGAGCGTGCACGTTTGAAGACGGTGAAATTCAATGCGAAACCTGGTGTAATTGATGCAAAAGGGGTATGTAAATAACAAAACCTTTTGGAATTGCACTTTGTAATTGTTATTATTACAAAATTAATTATTAAATTATTATTTTAAATGTATTTTCAGAGTAGAGAAAACTTTAGCAACATAGGGGATATTTAGATTGTTGCAACCAAGACCTGGAGTATAGTGAAATATAGACAGGAGTATAGTATGATATAATGTTCTAAATAATTAAATATTCTTTTTATAATAGTACTGACTGGCAGTGCATCCTAATTGGAAGATACTAAGAAAAAAAAGAGCATTCTGTGGTAGCTGTGATTGTAGTTAAATGATGGTTAGAGAAGAAAAGAAGTTAAAAACCGATGCAGATGAATAGTTGTTTAATGAAACAAGGCAAGACGTGTAAATTCCCTGACTTCAAAAGCTGCTAAATCTCAAACAAAAAGTTGGAAGTCGAAGAGTCCCAGATGCAAAATTCCGGTTTCAGATGTTCTGCTCTGACGGTTGTGACAGACATTGAACACGGGTGTGTTTCAGAGCAGGCACGACGGGCCAGACATCAAAAAAGTGCACGTTCCCTTCCACCAGCGCTCTCGGGACACCACAACGTGCCTGCTGCTCCGGCTCTGCAGCTTCGCCTTATTGTGCCCAACAGCCAACGGCTTTCACTGGCCTGATGTCTAATGTCCCGTACGTTGCCAACTGGCTGGCAAGAGCTACAGCATGAGAAATGCCCACGGTCCCAGCCGCTGAGGGATATTTTTGTGCTGAAGCGTAGCTTGCCTTTGCAGCAGTAGTAAATACTTGACAATACATTTGCAGGGATTTATTTTTGAAAACAGCCCAGTTGGCGTTCGTGGGATACACAACTGAGGGCTTCTGTGAGCAAACCAAGAGACAGAGCTTCAGAAACCGTCAGCAAAAAGTCCTGTTTGGCTGCAGACAACACAGGGCAGGGCCAAAACCGGGTGATGAGAGGACCCAGTCGTAAGTAGGTGCTATCAAGGGACAGCACCGAGCGGTTCAGCAGGTCCCTTCCAGCCCTGCTGTTGCTGTGGTCCTCTGCCTAGTTTGAAATTCTCATTCTTAATCTCTTCTTGCTCCGTTTCCCCCTGTAATGGGAATCATAATGCTTCCTTTATCCCAGCTTATTCTGTCCTTTCGCCTGGACGGGGTGGCAGAGTAAGAAGTTCCTCTTGCCATGAGCATGCCCTTCCTAGCGCAGGGGGTCCCAAGCCTCTACAGGCCAGAAAAACACTATTTCAGACTCGCAAATACTCCCCGGTTCTGCTCTGTGGAACAGCTCCCGAGTTCAGCGCAAATGCAGAATAATTGCACGGACTGAAACAGGTTTTCCATATTTATAAGGCACACGGAATCAGAAGTCAGCCTCTGCGCGTTATTTGCACATGCAGATAGCTTGGTATGAAATAGATAACGAACTGCATTGTGAAAGGACTTATTCATCTCATTGCATTTCTTCAGGAGTAAGAACTCCATTTTTTAGTTTGAAATGACCACTCTCTGCAACCCTGTAAATTAATGTTGCCGTTTATTTGGGGAGATAATAAGCTTTATATTGCCAATGAAATAACTTGTTAAATGTCTATTTCCTGTATATAAGCAAAGCCTCGGGGGAATAAGTCATTCATATAACTAATGGTCCTTATTCAAGCGAGTCTGTCAAGAATTTAATTACCTCTTGATTCCCCAAATTGTTTTTCTATTTTTGCCATCAGTGTAACATTAATCTTCCAGCCACTCACATCACTGCTTGTTTCAGTGTTTAGGAAATTGCGTAATTACAGACCAAGGCCATTGCACCCTTTTGGGAGCACAATTTCTATCGTTAGTATTTACTAAAATTTGCTTTTGTCTATTAAAAAAAAAAAATCCCACAATTTCAAGGCATTTTGGGAAAAGATACTGTAGGCTTGTTTTTGAAAGAGCATAAAGGGAAGAAGGGTTCACCATTAAGTTAAACATCAACACATAAAATGAGGTGTTTGAGTACACATATATGTATGTGCATTTTAAGGCTCCACATTTCCATTTAGCCTTTCAGCACTTCACAAAGAAGTGATGTAAACTGTATAACAGTGCGTTCTTTACTTTTTTTATCTGGAAGAAATTCAGTCCAGATAAACAGGGCTGCAGTAAGCCCAGAAGAACTGTTCTGTTGGAAATCAAGCTAAAATTCAGATAGGAATGGGCTTATGTGTATGTGTTGCACCTTTGTGCTCATACATTCATGTGGGCAAGTGGTACTGTCTTAACTGCTCTAAAGATGAAATTGGGAGAATAGCTTTTCATGTGATACTTCTAAATTTGGCCAGGGGATGTGCATGGAAGCATTTTTTACCAAAATTTAATTGAATACAGAGAATGCTTGGGTTTTTTTGCAGAGGTTTATCCTGTTGTGATTTTATCTGAAGCATCTTGCTGGCCCTGATTCCTTTCTTCCCTTATAGGAGCAATTTTTTAAAAGCGAATAAGCCACAGTAAATGTTTTATGAGATAGTGCCAAAATTTCTTTGAGATAACTTCTGTTTATGATTTTAAAATATGAACTGTCTAGTTATTCTACAAGTTTTAAAAGTCTTATGCATTTTCATCTGTTTATACCTCATTTCTAATCCCAAATCCGGTGATAAGATACAAAGAAAATATTACAGATAGTGTGACATTTGTAGCTGATCAGCTTCTTGTGTCTCACTAGAAAGGTGTTTAAGAACACTCAGCAATACAGTTGACAAACCTGTTAGTAGGGATAGCTACAGCTACGATGATAATCTTTTCAAAGGACCAAAATTTCTTCTTTTTCAAGCCAAACTTGGGTGCATTACCTCATCCAGAAAACGAGTTCAGCTTTTTTTTTAAATGTGATTTGGAATATTTTTAATTCATTTCATTGGACTCCTCCAATCCATGGCTTGTAAAATAAAAGTCTACAAAATCAGGATAGATACAAGAACAGGGAATGTGAATCACAATTAGGGAGCTCCAGGGAAATCTTCTGGTCTCAAGTTTAAATGAGGCAATGGATAGTACCTTTCCGTACAATGAATAATTAAATTCTAATGCTCATTATTACAGGATATTGTATAAAAAATAAATAAGTTAAAAAGGAGTTAGATAAGTTAGCAAGCAATGGATTCAATGACAACTTTTAACACTTTTGTTATGTACCTCAGGACAAACTAATTGTTGATTTCAAGAAGCAGAGAGGTTATAAAAGGGGAACTATCATGCTGCTTCTACTTTTTCTTTTAAACGTGTTTTTGGACAACTTCAGAAAAAGCTACTGGGCTAACTGGATCTCTGGTTTAACCCAATAGGGCCACTTTTCTTTCATGTTCTGTTTATTTTGTCCAACAGAAACTTATTTGTTCAGATTCAGAGCTATCATCAGGATCCTAGATTCTATTAACATTTTTAAAGATACCAAACCTGTAAGCGGTGCTAACAGCCGGGTAATAAGGAAAAGAATACAAATACTGGTAGAAACAGCTTCATTTCACCAAGCAAAGATTGTGCTTCAGTTGAGTTGACCAAATTCAGTCTCTAGCTTCATTCGTATAATTGTAAAAGTAATGATCTTCACCAGCTTTTCTAATTGTTACTGAAGGTGGCTGAAGTATCAAAGCAACCAGTCCACCCTCTGGTTCCCTACGGCTGCCCTATGCTACTGCAGCAAAGGGCAGGGTTTCCAGGACACTGTCTACCTTAAAGTTTCAAACAGAAAAAAAAAAGATGAAGATAAGTTAACACACGTACAATTTCCTAATCATTTGCTGTCTCAGTCTAAGGGGCCCACTGGTCTATGAATAATCAATGGAAAATAGAGCAGCCCAAAGGCTTATGTCTGATATTTGTGCTGGAGGAAGCTACAGGAGTTATGTGAGCACAAACTTAATTAAAAAGTATGATTTTATGGTATGTTGAACGCAAGTTCATATCCCAAGTACCTTCCCACGCCCACCTTTGCACCAAAAGGAGTAGAACGTGTTAGCAGCAGGGTTATACGTCTGCCAAAGCAGCACACTGCACTCTTGGTAATTCTCCCTACCACAGGCTTCAGGCTGAACAAAAATAGCCTTTCCTCTTCTAATCCTAAAACCCACAGTGGTTGAAGGCTTTTCAGATTTTTTACTGAATCAGAAAGAATGTCAAACAATGATGGAAATATTTCATAGGGAAAAGAGATGAGCCAGTAATCTGCTTTTTTCTCAACTGTTGTAATTACAACCAGTCTTTCAGGAGACAAAAATAGCATCTCTTTTGCTTTTCTTCCTGTCAGATCATATACTCTTTCCTGACTTTCTTGAAAATACTCTTATAGTGGAAACTGTAGCTCTTGGAAAGACCATTATCAACATCTCACCTTTTTTTCTAATATTCATGGATGTTGCCTGTTCCCAGAGAAGTGTTGCGCTATCATGAAGCATAATGTTTAGGTAAAATTTAATTTTATACAGACAACAGGGTTTTTTATACCATACACCTTTTCATTTCACGCCTGATTTGGACAGCGGCTCCAGAACGTTGTCTTTGGGACAAATACCCAATTTCAGTTCCCAGTGAGATAAATGTCACACCTCTCGCAATCTCTCAATTTTTAATGCGCGTGTCAGGGTGCATGGGGGGTGTTCAGTCCATGATTGGTGAACTAGTGAGGCTGCTCGGCAGGGTGCTGAACGGGGACGAGGTGCCTGCTCTGCTGCGCATCAGCAGTGCAGCTCCTGGGCTGTGACCCACACCAGATTGCTCCATCACTACCCATTACTCTATTTGCTATTCAGTTAGCTCAACATCCACGGTTCTTTTCATATTCCGGTCAGATCACCTCCACTGCACTCAGCCTGCCCCTTCAAGTGCCTCTGAATGGATTCATTATGACAGTCAGAAGCTTGATAGCATTTAATAGTATTTCTTATGAGCAGATTCTGTTTACAGATCCCACAGCCCTGCCTGCAATGTAAGGTCACCCTCGTGCTTTATTGTCACTTTAGCAACACTGCACTGAG